CTGTGGAAGGAAGCTCGTGTTGGCAGAGATCAAGTTGTTAACCCCGATCTGCAACATATTTATGATGAGTGTGTAAGTATACCATTATGTCTTTAATTAATATATAATTAACGTTGTGTCTTTAATTATCGATATTTAAATGAATTACAGGAGACTATATCGCAATCGGTATCCACGGGTGATGACCCGAATATCAGGAGCGTACTCAGTCGAGCACTATGTGTTGTTGAGTATCCGGGACGAGTGAGGGGTAAAGGCCATGGTGTGACTCCTACCTCTCTGTATAACAATCCAAGAAAAAGAAATCCTAGCAATGCAGAGTGATGCAAACATTGCAGGATTTACAAGCACAAGTCCGTGAACTGCAGAGGGACAAAGAGAGATATATGGCAGAAAGGAGCAGTTCACAGTTGAAAGAAACTAGTGACAAGGCTAGTATCAACTGTCAACAAAATTTTCCCGAGGTAATTAAGATGATAATCCATTATATTTAGAGAAAGTATAATTATAACGGTTATTATTGTCAACATTAAGGAAGTCTAACGGTTATTATTGGTTTAGGGCATTTCATGTTGTCAGTTGTATCTAGCGTCTCCGACTTATCGGGTAGTTGGCAAGGGAAAAGTGCACAAAACCTCGGGAGATTTAATTCACCATAGACCGCTCCCGGATGGCCACATGAAGGTATCAGTTGATGTTGTTTTAGATATGAATGCATTGCTACCGGTACCTGACATTGTTGCGGAGACCACATTGCTGCGAGATGCAGTAGGATCTTTTGTGGCATGGCCATCAGACCTCATCTGCATAGATGATCAGGTATGTTGAAAACCATTATGAATCTTTAAGTATTCAACTGACAGTTCTACCTGAATTTTATACATGATAATTTTAGACTCCTACAAAACTCGCATCTAAGGATAAAGGGATTTTGCAGCGCGGCGAGTCTATTGCATCGCAAAGACAGGTACTTTTAAAGTGTTTCATTTATGATCGGAATAAAAAACTGCATAACTTTGTATCTTACATAATTCTATATGATTTTTAAGGTACCTTCTCAAGATCAGTCACAGCAGGTGAGCCAGAAAGTTAGTAGGGTTCCACCTAAGAAGAAGGTTCCTGTCTGTAAATTTGTGCCTAGGTATCGACAGTGTATGGAGACACTAGTTGGCACATCAGATTTGATGAATGATGGAATTCGTCAAATCGATGTGGATGAAATTGTCTTGGTTTTCGATGTACCGAAACAATTGGATTAGAGGACATGGAACAAATCTTTCATCATCGAGAGTTAGGCATCAGTGTGATGCACTCGTACATCCGGTAACCCGATCAATATATTATTTAATTGGTTGAACATTTTTTTTAAACATTAATTGAAATAGTCTAATATTAATTATGTTTTTATTTAAGGATGTTATTTGACAAATTGATGCGCGGGAATCAATTGTCAAATAGATTCTGTTTCGTGTCTTCCTCCCGTGTCAGCGGAGCAACAATTTCTAGGGAACCTGATTCAGTAAGAGAACACTTGGTCGAAAGATTCATGACAACTGCCAGTACATAGAGCTTGTATCTTTTGCCTTATAATACAGGGTTAGATTTTCATTCTAAGCTCCTTTTAATATTTGTATTTTTTACATTAAAATTCGCTTCTAAATTGTTGCTTTAATTTATAGATGTCACTAGTTGTTGCTTGCAATCAATCCCATAAAAGAAGTGGTCTATTACCTGAATTCGGTTGACGGTGATTGGACAAATTATCCGGAAATGAAGCTAGTGATTGATACGTAAGTGACATTATTCTAAATATTCGTTTGTGTTTATATTTAATTATTTCAATGTCATTGTTCTAAATAAATATTTTAATTTTGTCATCAGTTCAATAAAAGTATTCCGATGTCAAAGGAAGCACGAGTACCACGGTCTAAATCAAACAACATTAATTGGATCAAAGTACAGGTATATAAATTTCAACAATTTTGCTTATAATATTTATGTTACTTGATAAATCAATAGATGTGTATAATCTTATTTGTTTTTCTATGTAGTGCCCTCAACAACAAAACGACATAGATTGCGGATACTTCGTTTTGAAGTTTATCAAAGAAATCATTTAAATGAATGAAATCGACATTCCAATCACGGTATGGATTTATACTTTGTTTTATTACTTATCGGATTTTGCATATAATTTATTACATTAAACTAAATCATGCATATATTTTGTTTTGTAATGTAGTATTTTGATCAATACAATTGTCCATATTACTCGCCACGTCAATTAGAAGAACTCAAAGAGGAGTTGTGCCAATATTTTATTGAGCTAAGAATCTTATAATAAGGTACGAATACATTGTTGTGTGAAAATTGGTTAATTATGAATATATTGTTTTGTGTATACAACACTGACCGTGTTATTATGTTCATATTGCAGGATCAGGACCTTGGATATATATGTAGATTAGGATTGATTTACTTAGTGTTATATAGCTGATTTCTTAGGGTGTATTTTGTTACGTTTAAAAACATGTTAATATTGAATTATCATGGTGTATATATATTTTGGATATGAATTGATTATAATGGTATTTGTATATATATATATATATATATATATATATATATATATATATATATATATAATATATATATATATATATATATTATATATATATATATATATATATATATATATATATATATATATATATATATATATATATATATATATATATATATATATATATATATATATATATATATATATATATAATATTTGGTATTTGAATTACATTTGGTATTTGGATTAAAACTAATATATATTGGTATTTCTAGATTAGATTGTAAAATACCGTTTAAGAATTACAGGTTTGCTGCAAAAAAAATGCAGGTTTAGAAATTTTTTAAATTTTAGATTTTTCAGTAGAAAACCTATGAAAGCGCTTTAAGAAAAAAGCGCTCTCGTAGGCCTACCTATGAAAGCGCTTTTTGATTAAAAGCGCTTTCATAGGTAGGCCTACGAGAGCGCTTTTTTCTGAACAAAAAGCGCTCTTATAGACCTACTTTAGATTGCCTGACACGCATTCTGAATACACCTATGAAAGCGCTTTTTCAGAAAAAAGCGCTCTCGTAGGCCTACCTATGAAAGCGCTTTTTACCAAAAAGCGCTTTCATAGGTAGGCCTACGAGAGCGCTTTTTTCTGAACAAAAAGCGCTGCTAAAACCTTTAGCAGCGCCACCTACGAGAGCGCTTTAAGCGCTTTTAAAGCCCAAAAAAGCGCTTTCGTAGGTTATTTCTGGCATAGTGTTGGCCACGACCTCGTCCTCTTTGACTCTTGTAATTCGCATAGTCTGCTTCCTTTATGTTGAGTTGTAGTAATTGCTCCATAGCCTCCTTTTGTTTAATTTTTCTTTTTTGTTTTTCTTCGTATGCTTGTAAGGAACCCGTGAGTTGCTCAATAGTCATGGTCTTTAGATCCTTATTTTCTTCAATGTTGGTAACAATGAAGTCAAAACTTGGATTTAAAGTGCGAAGTCTTTTCTCCATGACTTTCACATCATCAACATCTTCACCATTTCTATTAAGTTGATTGACTACAACCAATACTCGAGAAAAATAGTCTGAAATTGACTCGGACTCCTCCATAAATAAACGTTCAAAGTCACCTCTAAGAGTTTGAAGACGAATCTTTTTTACCTGCTCAACTCCTTTTTTACAAGTTTGAAGCTTGTCCATGCTTCTTTGGCCGTTGTTGCGTTGGATATCTTCTCAAACGTATCTTCATCCACCGATTGATAAATGAGAAAGAGAGCTTTCTTGTCTCTCTTTCTTGACTCCTTCAATGTCTCTCTTACACCTTGACTTAGCAAGGATTCATCTTGATCCTTGAAGCCTTTCTCAACAATATCTCACACATCTTGAGCTCCTAGTAGCGCCTTCATCTTGATATTCTAATTATCATAGTTGTTCTTTGTGAGCATCAACATTTGGAAAGGGAAACCACCATTCACCATTTTGTGGATCTCGAAGCTCTGATACCACTTTGTTGGAAATAAGACATTTTATGTTAAAGAGAAGTGTGTGGGAAATTGAAGGTTTGAATATAAATTTGATAAGTAGGATAATTCTTTATGGAGGAGAATAACTTTGTATTTTTGTTTGATGCAAATGTGTGAGATTCCATCTCTATTTATAGTACTCTAAAGAGAACTCTAGACATATTAATTCTAGAGAGTTCTCAACTCTAGAGATCCAAAGACATTCTAAAAAATATTACAATTATAAGAAATATCTAGAGATTCCATATATTACAAGAATTCTCTACAAAACTACTTAAGCCCAAAATAACTAAACCCAAAAACAAATTAATAAATTTAGGCCCAAATCAAGTTTAATATTTTTAACACACTTCTGGGTGTTACTTCGTTGCACCATCCACAACACCACACGCGGTCATCGTTCTTTCTAATTCAAGGCGGCTTGGAAACACATCCATCATTTGAGCCCATGGTTGAAACAACGTGGGGTACGACACCTATGAATCTAAAGGGGAAGTTAGCGAAGGTAAATGAGGCTTCTGTTAAATTCAATAAGGACGTCTTTGGTAATATTTTTAAAAGGAAGCGAAGGGTGGAGCACAGGCTGCAAGGTGTGCAACGGAGGAGTCTTGACTGGCGAGGGAAGACATAGTATGAACATATTCTTCATTACGAAGAATTGATGTGGTTCCAAAAGTCTA